GCAACAGAAGGAAATATGACACAACGAAAAAACTGGAAGGGAAATATAGTAAACCAGGGAGATTGGACAAGGACAAAGAAGGCAATTCAACCACTGAAATTTCAGAAACAGATGATTCCTTTGTATTTGAATGACTTCTGATGGTGAATTACAAATACAGTCCGTTCGTTTGTTCTCATCTAACTACGCTCTACTCCAAAGTCCGCTAATTCTCATGTGCACGCAAGAGACTTCAACGACTTGAAAACAAATGTCAATTCTATTACTACTACAAAGTTAAAGAACCTGGAGAGGAAAGCAGATAAGGTCCCTCAGTGCCGAATTGCCAGACCGTACGCAAAAGGAACAATGACGAAATTGCTTAAACAAAAAAACCTGCTCACAAGATCTTTTCCCCAATCTGTGGAAGGTCTGCTAAAGCACGTCAGTGAATCTGTGGTTCATATGCGGGCAAATCACAACAACCGAATGCGATACAAGGGACCATGCGAGCCTGTTTCAGTTTCAGTTGTTAGTCCTAACATTGGTGAGTACATTCTAGGCTGGATTCAGTTGATCTTCAAACCACTTTGTTCGTTAAAAGACTAAAATATTTGTATCACCAAAGTACACTTTGGCAATAAACTATCAGTTAGGTGTAGTTCATTGTTGCTAGGTTTACCGATGTATGGGCAGTTGACTTTTGAATCTTTCTCGGTTTAATTAGAGAAGACAATCTGATACGACAAATTATGCATCTATTGATCCGATTTAGAGTGATAGTTTAATGCTACTCAGGTAATAACAATGGTTGGAAAAGAAAAGTAGTTTATGTTGAAAATAATTGAAAGCCGCGTTTAGTGTCAAGGAAATACATTTTGTTCATACGATCGAATAACACTCTTGGATCTGTCTGAATTTGAGGTTATGGTTGACGGGTTCTTAGTCGGAGTTGATTGTTTCTGGCTCGCAGTTTTGTCGTTTAAACGTTTATGGTAAATTTCTACGTATCTCACGAACGACATTTACTTTAAATAAGAACATTCGTCTAAATTTGAACGAATAGTTTCACAATATTCACAATATATAAGAGTATTCTTTGGAACAAACAATACTCTAAGATCAAAACTAGTAAGAATCAAAGATCCAATACACAAGGATGATCAACAAAATTGTGTTTATGAAATCAAATGTAATGATTGTAATGCAACGTATGTAGGTGAAACATCAAGACAACTGAATGTGAGGGTGAAAGAACACAAACTGTGCTTAAAGCATATTCCTAAATCCTCAATTGATGTAAGAAAGCTTGAGAACAGATCAGCGATAGCATTACATTCAATTGAATCGGGTCATACAGTTGATTTCAATGGCACGAGAATCATTCAAAAAGGATTTAATTCTTACAAAGAACGCCTAACAGCTGAAGCCTTACATATATGGGCTAATTTAAACAATATTAATAGGAGAGATGGAATACAACTAGCTGCACCATGACAACTAATAATTAATAAGTAAACCTGATCTCCTTTTTGCCATTTGATATATTTATGCCATAGTAACTAATTGATAGATAATACGTTCAATGATCCAAATCCGTTATCTTATCTGAATATGTTAAACATTTGACTGGAACTTTTTAAAATAACACACTTCAATTACATATACATTCCTCGTTTATTTTGTTTACTTATCTTCATTTAATGCAGGCTGTGGCATTTTGATTCATTTCATGCATAAAAAATGATTTGTTTTCTTAATATACACAGACCGTAGTCCATATTAAGTTGAATGAAATTTTTTTTTCTCATATCACTTCCGTATAAACACATTCTGTTATCTTAACACGTTTTGGTTCCATAACACATACAAAACAATTTGTCATAACCTTGAATTTACCTTATAATCCTTAAGTCATTCTATGGCCTAGGATAACATGACAAATTCTTATTTTTCTCTCCCCTTGATTATTTTCAAATGAACTTTTATTTTATTTGTTTGACCTTTATTATTTTCACATAAACATGTCTCTTACACATTAATACAAATACCTATTTATAAAAGAAATCCTTCACGTTGATTGGATGACTTATTCAGTATACACTAAACCGAAGAACTTTGTACCTATTTATATTCGATAATTTTGTTGTTTGATTATATTTTCCTTGAAAAAGCTTGGACCAGATTGCCAGGCGAAACGTTGGATTTACTTAAAAAATTCATTCGCTGAGATTTTACAAATATATTCTTCTTTTTAATGACATTTACTTTATTTTTAAAGCCACTATTTACAAAATAGGTTTCTTAAGCCTATCTCCACATACCTTCCTTGATCCCTTTACATTTGTCGTCTATAATAGTTTAATCTTCTCTTAGCAGATCTTGTAAGGTTTGGAACATATTGCTGAGAACTATCTTGAGTACCAGTACCATCTTGCCAACCATCAGGTGGTGTTCTGGAGTAGTGTTAGTACCTCTCTAAGTTCTCAGGCGTTCCACTGACTTTGGCTATTCTGGTGATGTAAATATGATTGATCTGATTCTCTGTAGTGTGATTCAGTGGGACCCATATAGCATTGTGAATTCGTTTGTGGGGGAATGTAGTGCCGTCTATAACTATTTTGTTGAATGCACATAAATCTGCAAGTCTCACCATTCTCGTTCCTTTTACTCAGTCAGTCCATGTCGTCGCATATTTTCTGTTATGTCCCGAGACGAATAATGAATGGTAACTTTTGGAATCTATTGATGGACCAATACTAAACGTATATTTCTATTGTATAATTAGTAAGTAACTAAACTATGCATATTCATATTCCTCTTATTATAAGCTTTATTTTCACCCATAAACTATTATTATACGTTTTACCATTCTTGAGTTATACCCAGTATATTAATTACTACCTCCCTCATTCACAGCCACATCTGGCTAATCCTTGTACAAATGTTGTTTCATATTTTATTGGTACGTTGTGGTCTGTCTGATTGGTATATAAACTCAGTATGTTTGAAATAAAATGATTCATATTACAGAGGTTGAGACTGGTATTCTGGACTTAACTGGCTGGGCTAGGCGGAAAGCAGGACAAATCAGGACTCTAGGCTGCTCGCACGTGTTTTATGCGTCCTTGATCCGATCGATAAGTCACTGCTCTCTAATCGGCGGTTACTAGTTATAACATTTTCATACGCGGTGTTGCACATTTCGACTTTGGAGTTTAGGTCTCCCATCAGGATGTTCAGGTTCTTTCTTGAGCACTTCGCCGTGATTGATTGCAGTCTCTCGTAAAACTGATCTCTATCGTTGTTGTTGCTAACATTTGTGGGTGCATAACATTGAATAACATTTAATGTGATTCCCTCCTCCTGAGTGTGCAGAACATTTTCTTCTTCGTGACCAAAGTACAGCAGTATCTCCCGAATCTATCCCCTTCCTACCGCATTTGGTCCAATGGGTTTTGCTGATTCCGAGTACTGCCAAGTTGTATTTCCTCATTTTTGCAACCATTTGGTCTCTCATAGTCCGAACATTCCATGTACTTAAATTAGTTGTTGCCGTGATTGTCAGAAGGGACATTGTCCTCGTGACTACGGAAAGGTCTCGGCTTTCACCATGATGCATCATAATCCCTCCTTCAACTTCCAGGACAGAGTTTAAGTTGTTTGTTGTGATTAGCGTTTTTTAGCAAGGTTGTTTTCTACGGGATGAGGATGCTGGTCCCATGTCCGATCCTCCTCCTTCACCCGGGCTTGGGACGGCAGTCGCTCCAGAGGAGTAACAGCCGGAGTTGGTAGATGAACTCGCCCGTTTCTCAATTATACTGAATCTCTCAAAAGACATCGAGAAAACATCTCACAATTATTGAATCTTAATTACTCAACTGTGTATGTGATAAAGTCGGAAATTATTTCGCCACAAAAATTTAGTTACAATGTCCCTGACAAATTCATATAACCTGATCGACTGTTATTGCCTGCGGTGTTTTAGTCCAATGTAGTTCATTCTCACAATCAGTTGGCTTAGAGTCTGTTAAGTAGCAATAATTACTCTGAGGCCTTTTAGAATATCTTATAACATTACAGTAGATACCCTTACTTAATATAATTGAATGTGCATCATATTCCTAACATGGTTCACGGTTGTCAAACTTTATTTAACTGAGTAGGTTACTGGTATATTGGTAGCAAGGATGCCTGATGTTAAATATAATCCAATTTGTTTGAGCATAGTAGATGAAAACGGCGTCAATTCGCCACCACTTCTGTCTTTAAATGAACGATTCTCCTGGTACAGCAACATATAAGAATTGTTAGTAAAAATCCTGTTTTCTCTCATGCCTAGTCAACACAACCGTCATTGAACAAATACATATAAAACGTACTTTGTGTACTGAAAGATGAAGAAGAGGTCCCGAGTTCTTTACGTAGATCTTAGATAATGTAACAAGGATATGGTATACATTAATATCAGGAATTTCATGACACTCAGACAGAAAGGTTTGTTGTCCTATGTGCATCAATACGCGTAAGGCAGAGTAAACTGGAAGTTTAAATTTACAGACCTGGTTAAGAGAATCAGAAAAAAACTCAGATGAATGGGATCGCAACTGGTGTACTGTTTTTCATTAAGTTTAACATATATACCATATATTCAACTCCAGAGAGCTCTACAGAATATTCAGTATCCCAACAAAAATTCGGGGACCAAATTAACACACAATGAGTCCAAACTACTTTCAGTATGATATCCAGGATTTAGTGAACCCGCTACCCATTCAAATAAAAGTAACCACATGGAAAGAAATATCTATGGTTTTCCTAAAATCAACCTAGAAAAAGATTAATTGGATAATAATTGATCCACTGCTACAAAGATAATATGACTAACCCGAATACCTTGCTAAGAATAATAAATAATTTGAAGTAGGTTAAAAATCACTCATAAAATCTTAACGTAGAAAACATGCATCAACACCAATACTCGATAGAACAGAAATGAGAAGTGCATTGCAAAACAAATTTTATTTGGATTCGTCATTTTTTATGTTATTTGTACAGTCATATTGAGTTGATGGTGAGCAAACTTCTGCTATATTGTATTTACGATATTTGAAGAAATTTTCCAACAAACTGATACAAGTCACCTTACACAGGACAGTTATTGAGACAACAACTGAAGGCGATGAATTGCATAAATTCCAAGATGAATCAACTGATTTGATTGCTTCAAATGTACGGCGTATAGCATCATCACGGGTAATAGCTTTGAAACCACGAGATTTGAACACAATCATAAACGTCTTCGATCCATTCAATGTAGATTCACAAGCAATCTGTTTTGGGACATGTAAAATTGAGGACTCGTTATCATTATTTGCGTTTTCTTCATCATTTGACTGGTCTAGAGGTACCTCAACTTTAGAACATTTTGTATTTATTTTACATGACGCTAGGCCAAGGAAGTTCGACCACGCTTTTAGCACACAATTTTCGAGTGACGGCAAATCTGACCGACATGTGTTTACAACAGGCATCAAACGAAGAACATAACGAGACTCTGCATTGGAAGTCGAGAGTAGTCTTTCGAATACACGATTACAAAGTTCTGCAGCACTAAGTAAATTAGTCTGATGAAGAATAAAAGAACAGTTACTGATATGTGTTTTCACAGAGTAGAAACCAAATTTATTTTTTGAATTGGCAGGATATTTTGAACAATTTTCACGAAGTAACTGTGAGTATAAGTCATCAGTATCATCATTCTTTTCATCACTAACCATATTATTAGATTCAGAACCAACTAATTCATTATTTGTATTTACAGGACTGTTGATTTTAGATGCTCCACTTTTATGCTTTTCAATAGAAATCTCATCTAAAGTATGATTTAACAAACGATAAGTCTCAATATGTGCTAATCGTTGCTGTTGATTGTAAGTTAATATATAACCGGTCATGCCGGGTTGTAAATTTTTCGGAATGCATGACACACTATCGTTTTGATCATTCAGACGAGATTTTTTTGAACCAAAAGCACATTTTCGGTAGTAAGCTTTGCGTTTTTTCTTGGACTTTTGATGGTCCATATGTGATTATGCTATGTTGTTTATAAATATGTGGTCAAAAACACACAATATAACTGAATGTAAGTTTTGGTAGACACTAAGTATAAAAAAACTCAATATAGGTCTAATTAGAATTTGACCGAATGCATTGAAATTATTTCTACATACAGAGAAGAATATTAGCAAAAAATATTCTGCGAAGTCGATGATCAACCGACATAGCAACTAATAATAATAACAGTAATCAATATAAACGTGAAGTATGAAACATTCTGATCAATTACGTAGAACAATAGACAGTTTGCATAGGGTCACCTATGCAGATATTGAGCGGGAAATTAGTGTTATAGCAATCAAACAACTGGGAGCAGGTTCAAGCACTAGTTATTCAACCATACATACTATATATATATATATATATATATATATATATATATATATATATATATATATATTGGGTGGTTAGTTGTGGCCTGAGTACTCAGTAGTAACATCTCAAACTGTAGAGTTAAGTGATGCGGGCTCAAATCCTACAAGAAACATTAGTTCCCTGAAGTCTCCAATTATACATGGCTAATAAGTTCCAACTTGGGTGAAATTTAAGTCCACATCCACGGCTTCTTATCGGCAACCTACAGCAACCTAATATTAATAACCTCATGTAAGTAATATATACTGATTTGTCGATGAGAATGAATCTATTTCCTTGTTTAGTTTACTTGAGGATGGTGAGACTGGATCTTAAGATAAATCCATAGCATTGATCAGATCGCCCAGATCGTCTATCTGGTACTAGAGACACCCTAAGTATGAGATAACAACCGAAAGTAACACTAGATGACTAGTGGTCCAGAATCCAGTCTCCCATCCTTGCTCCCCTGATAGTCAGAATGGAGCACAACCCAGCAAACAGAAAGCTTTTAATCACACAGTTCAAACCAATCATATAGGGCAAAATCCTGATCACATATCAACAGGACTAAGAAATTATCACATGGGAACAACTATGCCATAAGTGGAAGAGAACAAAGTGACAGGCCTGCAATAAATTAACGATATATTGGGAAACGTAAATCACAAGAGTAGCTTGTGTCGAACAATGGCTTACAAGTAATTATACAACAAAAATATAAATAACTGCAGATAGGACTGTAGTGGAGCAAAGTTTAGATTCAGGTGACCTGTGAGACTAAATAAACCTATAGTGATGGTCATAGGATTTTCATACAACTGGAGGCCAACAACATTAGATTACATAATGACTAAGAATCGGATTTATGACATAAGTAAATCATAGAGAAGTCATGACAAAATAATTTATTCGAAAAAACAACACACCAGAGATCATCGAACACTTTTCGACTGTTCGCATGAAAATATAGAAGCAGCCCGTGTGTTTGCGTCAACTAAGTGGTTGAAATTTATAGGTTACATCAATCACTCCCAACAACTTAGACAATCTGTGATTTGTCAGTTACACAGTAAACCTAAACGCTAGTAATGATCATAAGAAATATTGGAAAGCTTTTTATGTGACTGGTCGAGTCTAACAATAATTTCAATCCAATCAGTCATTCATAACCAGCGCAAATCCTAGCACAAATATTAGGTGGCCTAAGTTTGCATACCATAATGGCACAAGGAAAAATTAACATGAATAATGTTGTAGTTATCCTAATGAAAAAGACTAAATATTGAGAATATGGTAAGAAAATACAGAATAGAAATTGAATACTGGATTTAAAGTGAATACATCTATACCACCACAACCAACCTTAAGCCATATAAAGTCTTCAACCACTGACCGCGATTACCGCGTGGATGGCAACTAAGTAGTCTCCGTCTACCAACGTGGCTCGGAACAGTCAGTGACTACGGAATGATGTCACTTTTTGGTTTAGTCACATTATACCTTGCTTCTACCCATCAATTAATGTTCCGTACAATGCGTAAGCTTTCTATTGTAATGAGCTGCCCATATCACAACACACACTTGAACACCTACGAGATAGGTTACAGAACTAGTTTGGACATATACTACATGTTGTTTTTTCTAAAATAAGACCAATGAATGATTAGGTAGAAATACACTATTTATCACGGTAACGAAAACTGTAAACAAAATAAAATTTGGCCATTTACTTAGGATGGGACAATAACAACAGATCAGGAGTTAACGTGAAATATTGGAAGTAAAATAAAACGAATTTATTTTGATAGCAATTTTCAATTTTTTCATTTACAGGACATAGAATTATCCACATATCATTCTATATACATATTAAAATATCCACAATCAAGAACTTACTTTTAAGACTGAACCAATGTTTCTAAAATAAGAAAAAAAACCTATTTTTTAGTAAGATATATAACTTTGAAGTTCAATCTCCAATAAGACAACTTAATACCAGTTCCACTATGAATATGAGTTTTAAAGAGGGCATAGATTGATCATGAATTCAATGAACTAGATAAACCAGTACAATTCTAAATATATTACTAAGTTTTTTATACTCAACTCCTACAATCGGTAACATATTTGCAGTTCCTATGGGTCATTTTGAAAACGGAGTAACCACATAATCGAACAGTTGAATGAAAGTAAAAGTTATGTTTGCTAAGCTTAAATCGATGTAGTATAGAAAACCTGACAAAAAATACAAAACGTCAACTTTACATCCGGAAAATGTTATTTTGTTAACTTTCACAGAAAGTACAACTTTTGGTTTAGCGTATGAGTACGACTACTACTCATCAGTAAGTTGAATACGATGATAAACTTGGGTGACATAACAAAACATATCACCTTAAGTCGGGGATAATTCTTCAACGGAAGCTACAGATATATATTAATGATAAAAAACCGAGATAAATTAGAGTCTATGGTCAACGAATCACCACTTAGGACTGTGCATTTGGGAATGCAAAATATGCTTTGACGGGATTTGTATCGAAGCATTTCAAACACCTAATAATATAATAGTAATTTAGAGCATCAAAATGAGAAACATATGTTCAGAACAATTAAAATATTAAGATTATTCAAATAACTAAATCTATTTTAATCGCAAACGTTTATTTTCACAATGTTAGTATTTACAATCTATGGGGCAACATTAATAAACAATTTACATGTAAACATGACAAATCTACTTCTCTATGAAGAGCCAAAAGATAAACAATATGAGAGCATGAATTATGAAAGAACCAGAAAATGCAAGGATTGTCATTTGAAGTAAACTAATATCTATTGATTGGAATTTACTTCACCCACTAGATTGGGAGCGTATTTCATAAAGAATCTCATCAGCACCGGATAGAAGAAGACTTTGTGCTACTACGCAACCCAAACTTTGAGCAATAGCCATTCTGAGACGGGAAATTTCGGATGATGGAGTAACTAAAACTCCCATAAATATAGATGCTGCATCCAATGCTGCTTTTAACTCATCCTAGTAACAAAGTATAAACACAAAACAGTAAGCAATATGAGTTAATTCTAGTAATAATTAAAAAAAAACTGTGAGCCATTAAAAACCGTTTTACCTAACTTCACGGCATAAAGAACTTGTAAATGTTGAGTTACTAGTTCAAACCACGTGGTCACAATCTATATCTATATTATCAAATAATCTAGAATAGTAAAAGTGATAATTTCGTGTACTCCACTAATGCATTCATAACTCCGACCTCACTACAGTGAATGAAATCACCTTCACACTTTTTTTTGCCTCGTTCACTACAGACAAAGTCCGCTTTTGTAACGAAAGCCTCGTTGAAAATAATTCCAATGGAATTGAAAATGGATTTTGGGTAAATCGGTTATATATTCGTTTCAACAATCAAGATTTATGAACTAAGTTATTGTCACTAAACACAATCACCGTAAAAATGAATTAAAACTGAATACAGTAACGTAACGAGAATGTACTGAAAGTTAACCATATATTTACCTTTTATATAGATTTGGTTTCCCTTCCCATAAGTCGTAATTGACGTTTGCAGATTCTTAACAAAAAGTTGATCAGAATTTGTTGATAAAAGACATAAATGATTCAGTAGGCTGAACATCTCCACCAAACTAGTGATCTAATACACACAACTGTCTCTAGTTCTTTAGTAAACTGTCCCATGTTTACAAATAGCTGACGGCGGATATATTTTGCATAAACCCTATCACATATTCGCGACCGTTGCTGCTACCTTGACACAGTGGTCGGGCTAGTCTATCGTGATGAACCAGTCGAGCTATACTGGTTTGGACAATCGTTCCTCACGGTCCTACCATACCATACAGGTTGGTTGAAGAACGGTAAGACTAAAACCAGCAAACCCAAGGTCGGAAGGTGAAATCGTACTGCTGACTGTACAGAGGTGTGACAACAGTAAGATATTTCTTTCAGACAACCAGCATAACAGCGATATTACCTTCTCATAAGGAGGGTGTGGGGTTGGAAGAGGTCGAGCTTAAAATGCACATATCACCTCATTCCATCTATTTCCGTCTCTGGTGGTAAGGTTCCAATAAGTACGGAGCTAACACAAAAATTAACCACTAAAAGGTCGTGCCTGGCCGACCTCAAGCAGTTGTCCCTTGGGCACTGTGGTCACTAAGGCCATCCCTAACCAAATTTCCTTTTCAGGTGCCGCCAGAAGAACCCTTTCACGGTGTGGGTAACCGGGAAGTGATAACTACCATCATACCTTTAACAGCACTCAAGACCAATGTCTTCATCATATATTGGTTTGGGTCCTGATGTTAATTCGTTCTAGTGCTCAAGTTATACGCGTCATATCAAGAATATAAGCATCTAGATATTATATATATATATATATTCAATTTTTACACTGCAAACGAGAGGAATAAACAACTTACTTTAGTAGGAGAGGTTGGTGATGTCCCCCTACTTTCGATTATTGGTGTATTTGTGCTAACATCATCATAACCGCTCGATTTTTGCACTAATTTGCAACTGGACTCCACACAATCATTTATGGGCATTTTATCCGGGAAAACAACAGAGGCAGATCTTTCTACACTCTTCCCACCATCAACACTTAGTATATTTGCATGAAGAGTAAGTTGAGAATAGTTCAAGTCTCCTTTTAAAACAAGATCACTGCGCACGCCGATCGGGATAGAACAACCACCATCAAGTTGACGCATTAAACTGCGCTCAGCAATAGTTGTTAAGGCAGCTGATTCGTCATGGATGCCCGATAACAAATTCATGATGAAATTATCGATTTGACGACATTCACAAGCTAATGCACCTTGACTTACAGCATAAAAAGAATCGGTTAAAACCTACAGAAGGTAAAAACATCCGGAAACAAAAAATGACTCATGACAATTAAGACAATCC